TAACAAAATTTAGCTATGTTCAAAGAAACTGAATCATACTGATCAGATAGCAACAACTGTACATAAAAAAGGTCAGAATTTCCCGGGTATTTTACCAAACGGGGAGTTATAAAATGGAACCATGAGCCCTTATAGAAGGTACAGTATAGCAGGACATGAGCTGTAGTTTCAATAGCCCCTTGTCCACAGGGGCACAATCTCAGCTCATATGGAACTTTTTTGTATCGGCCCTCCAAAACTGCTGTGGGAAGAGCATTGCAACGTGCTGGAGTTAGTGCACCTCGGAATTTGGAGACAGTTATATAATGTAAGTATCTTGCTGGTTTATAGAAAAGGGCTTAACTGCTCAAAAAAACATTCTTAGATAGATCAGACTGGCCCTGTAGGACTTCCAGGTCTTTGACATGTTGTTTAAATGCACTAAGTGCACACTCATAGCCCATCATTAGGAACGCCTCCCATCTACTCTACTGCATCTGCTATTGATGAAACAGCTTCAGCAGATGAAGAAGTGATTGCCCTGGGCCACAATTATTTCCACACAGCATTCCATGCTATGATGTTCTCAGTGCTGTAATTTGTGAATTGGTGAATGAGGAAGATTGTTTTGATGAGATCCAGCATTATCTTGAAGAGTAGTATGGCCTGAAAGTTGCTATTAGACCTTGGTCCAGCAGTTGGTCCATTGCTACTTATCATAAAGGTAAGGCAGTCCTTGGCTGCTTTGAAACCAGAACACTTCTTGCTTGCTGATAAAGGTGTGGGATGACATCTGCTTCCAGAACAGGCCAGTCTCATAAGCAATGAACATCTGCTCTGGCCAGTATCCCCTGGAATCAATTTTCAAATGCCCCTGAATATCTTTGTGCTTTTTTATGACCCACTGATAAATTTTCTACTTGTATTGTTCATGCTTTGAGAATGTTATTTGCACAAATCAGAAGCTTTAATATTTAGACCTTTACCTTGCTTTTTAGCAGCAAGTTGAGTAGGGATATCAGATGCTATCTTACATAGCAAGGAAATAGTTTCAGGACAAAGCAAGAAATAGTTAAAAGACAAAGCAAGCTATGTTAAAAACATAGCAATAAACAACATATACCAAGTGAACTGGTAAGCTAAATACATCTGAAACATAGTTGTCTGCAAGAAAAAGAAAGGAAAAATACAAAACAACTGAAAACTAGAAACATCCATATTCAGAAGCAAGCAAATAATAGGCATGTAAAACAGCCCAAAAGATGAATGATGAACCAAAAACAAACAAACAAACAATAGGTAAAACATAGACAAACCAAAAATACATAAAACATGGAATATAAAGTAATGGTCAGCCCCAGGTCATGCATTTACAAATCTGAATGGCTGAAGCGAACAGTATGGCAATAGTTAATGTCATATTTCCATTGACATCAACTAATAAAAAAAGTCAGATTCTAGTCGAAAGAATTTCCAGGAATTGAGTTGAAACCTTACAACCTTAAGGGTTAATCTCTATAAAATTATAAAGTAACACGAATTAGAGATTTTGTGGCATCATAGCCACAGGCGCAAAGGGTTATACCATGGGATACCCAGAACTGGTAAGTTCGTAGGACAGAAAGGAGTGAGTGGAATCTACCTTGGAAAACACAAAGCAATATCTGGGGATGATGAGTGTTTTCACTCATATATCTTAACTCCTGCTTTTCCCTCACTCCTTTTGTTTGATCTTTGTCCATGAAATGTGTGGGTAGTCCTTCTGACTGAAAAATTCCAAAAGAAGCTTCAGCCTTCAGCAGGACAATCATCACTGATTTAAGTGGGTACTTTAAATCATGCATTTTGAAAATAAATCAGAGTAGGAGGAGAAGAGCATGAATATATATGGACTTGTTTACATAGGGAGAATCCATTATTTTTTATTGTATCCAAATCAACGTGTGCGCGTGCGCGCCTTCAAGTCACTTTTGACTCCTGGCAACTGTCTGGATGGGTCCCTGCAGTTTTATTGGCAAGATTTTGGAAGTGTTTTGCCACTGCCTTCTTCCTAGGGCTGAGACAGAATTATTTGCCCAAGGTCACCCAGCTGGCTTTGTGTCTGAGACAGGACTAGAACTCATAGTCTCCTGGTTTTTAGCCTGATTCCTTAACCATTACATCAAACTGGCTCTATTCAAATCAAATAAATGGTACTTTTATTTTGAAAAAAAAAATACTTTCTCAATTAGCTTATGAGTTCATGTTTATTTTTATTTTCACTTGAAAGTAACAAAAATTTAGCAAGACAGTAACTCACTGAATCTGTGGAGTGCTGGCCAGGAGACTTATTTAGGAGGACTGGTGCCCTTTTGGGTTCTGAGATCCAGGAAGAAACTTCTGCTGGCCTGGGTAAGCAGTTTGCTAACTCATTTAAGAACAAAATTGCTCATTTTATTATTTCTGAACTGGATGACAGATTGGCAGGATCTCATGAGATGACAGAGGTAACATCTCATGAGATCATCTGGGATTCTTACAATCCTGTGACATCCTGAGTAAGTTGACATGTCCTCTGTTGAATCAGTTTAGGCATCTGCAAATTAGAGAATGTGTCTGACAGTCGGTACTGGAAGTGGTAAAAGGATCTCTGGTAGAAGGGGTGATTTCACCTATTTGGAAGTAGGCAGTGGTGCATTTCCTCCTCAAAATCTTGCACTTAAACTGGCCATCCTAGATAATTACTGGCTGATCTCCAACATACTATTTCATCCTAAGGCTACTAAGAAGGGGTTGGGCTCCAACTACAATCTGTATGAGATAGATTATTTGGATTTTTTTCAGTTGGGTTAAAGCTTGGATATGGACCAAGACTGCGGTTGCTCTTGTGGATGACTAGCGGTGAGATTTGGAGGGAGATGGCATATTTCTCCTCATCTTGTTGGATCTCTCAGTGGCATTACATATAATCTACTGTGAGGATTGGGGATCAAAGCACTGTTGCACAGTGATCACTTCCAATTAGTGTTGCTGGAGGATTGAGCCCTTGGCTCAACCCTCTTCCGCATATTGTTTAACATGAAATATTGTTTACATGAAACTAACTGAAACTGCTGGAATAGGTTATCTGTCAGTTTGGCATATTAATAGTTAACAATATCCAGCTTTACATCTCTACCCCAGCCTGAGCAGGAGATGTGGTGGGAATCCTGACCCAGTGCCTGGAGGATGTGATGGACAAGATACAGCAGCAAAGTGAAATGTTTTGTATGTTACAACTTTAACAAAAAGAGAAAGAAAATAAGACTTTAAGGAAAAGAAAGACTGAACACAGGGTGTCTAACCCATTATCTTAAATCTGTCTATACTAATGCACAAAGTATGGGTAATAATCCCTTATTAATTTTATCCCCTCCTGTTTTGTGTGCTTTTATAGTTTAATTGTAATAGTTTTTATGTATTTGTTCTTTTTAATTGTTGTATGCCACCCAGAGTCACTTTGTGTGAGATGCGTGGCTATATAAATATGATGGATGGATGGATGGATGGATGGATGGATGGATGGATGGATGGATAGATGGCTATATAAATATGATAGACAGACAGACAGACAGACGAATTTGATGTCATGAGGTACAAAGGCATGAATACTATTATATGGATTACAGAAATATGGAGGGTTGAAGCCCTCCAGCAGAACTTCAGGACTGATGTGTCTACCCTGTTTCAGAGGAACACAAGAGAGAAGGTCACCAGAGATAGTGTTGCATATCAGCAATTAACTTACCTGTACAGAGTTTCACTGGATTGATGGTAACATAAGCACTGAAAGTGTCTGGCTTAAGATAAAAGGACAGCCCAACAGAAAAGATATTTTGCTGTAAGTCTGGTACAGACTCAAAGCCAGTCAGAAGAGGTAGACGAAACTTTATTACAGCAAAACGTGAAGCCTCAAAAAACCATTAAGTAGTTGTAAAGGGAAATTTCAACTCCTCAGACATTTGCTGGAAGACTAATCCTGTCAAACATAAGATGTCAGATAAATTCTTGGCTTGTGCTGGTCATAATTACCTTTTCCAAAAGGCTGAGGAGGGCACTAATAGATATGCTACCTTGGATGTGGTTTTACTATAGGGAAGAGTTGACTGAATATATTAAAGTGATGTGAACTTTGGCTGCAAGCGTCCATACATTGTTAGAATTCTTGATTTTAACAACAACAACAAAAACGGTAAAAGTCTTGACAACTATAAAGGGCAAAGCTTTTGTCGCTGGTTGGACCTTCTTGAAAAGGAAAATAAGGATAATGCAGTTTCAAACAATATCAATGAGGAAGAAAATGAACAGACACCTAAAAAAGCCAATGTGGCTGAATAAGCACAGGAGCTGAAAAGGAACAGAGCCTGAAGAAAGATACTTATTGGAAATGGAAATAAGGGCTAATTACCAAGGAAGTCTGTAAAGCTTCATCTCAGAAATATAGGAATGAATTTAGGAAGATAAAGGAAGAAAATGAGTTAAGGCTAGCAAGAGAGGAAAAATATAGCAAGAAAGGATTCTTAAAATATGCCAAGAGGGAGATAAAGGAGACAGTGGGCTTACTGCTTATTCCAAATAGAAATGCCTTAACATGATTTTAGTCAGGTTTCAGGCCAGGATTTAGTACTGAGATAGCCTTGGTTTCTCTTGAATATGACCTGTAGTGGAGCTGGGATGGTGGTAGTGCATTCATCCTTGTACTCCTTGATCTCTCAGCAGCTTTTGATATCATTGACCATGGTATCCTTCAGAGCTGGCTCCGTGGGTTGGGGATTGGGGGCACTGTGTTATGGTGGTTCTCTTCTTTTCTCTGGGGCTGGGGAGAGATCTTCCCCTAGGCCACTCCTTTGTGGGATGTCACAGGGTTTAATTCTCTCTCCCTTCCTTTTCAACATCTACATGAATCCACTGAGTGAGGTCATCTGCCAATTTGGGGCTAGACATTATCAGTATGCTTATGATACCCCATTATATCTTTTGACTCTAGGCCAGCCAAATGAGGCTTTCAAGGTTCTGTCCCAGTGCCTGGAGACTGTATGGGTTTGGATGGGGAAGAACTGGCTCTGACTCAATCCTGCCAAGACCAAGTAGCTGTGGGTGTTTGGACCACCCAGATCTGAGGTATTTCAACTTTGACCTTGGATGAGGTGGTACTCCCTTATTCAAGGATGGTGCACAATTTGGACATCTTCTTGGACTCACAGCTCCTATTTGATGAGCAGGTGGCAGCTGTGGCATGGAGGACCTTTGCCCAGCTTCATCTGGTGTGCCAGTTGCACCCTCTCCTAGATCGGGAGGCCCTTCAGACAGTCACTCACACCCTGGTCATCTCACATCTTGACTGCTGTAATGTGCTCTACATGGGGCTGCCCTTGAAGACCACCCAGAAGCTTCAACTGGTCCATAATACAGCAGTGCAGGCAATAATGGGGATGCCTTGGTATGCCCATGTGAAAGCTCTGCTTTGCAAGCTGCACTGGTTGCCAAATTGCTTCTGGGTGGGATTCAAGGTGCTTGTCGCTACCTATAAAGCCTTACATGGGATAGGCCCTGGTTACTTGAGGGATATCACTGAAAGCCATGAGAAGACTGAGAGAGGTTGGTTAGGAACTATTTTCTATTGCCAGAAAATCTAAAATAATGCAGGGGATGAAATGATCCTTATGTTTCTTTTCAAGTCCATAATTCTATGATTCTGTGATATAACTGAATAAGTAGCATTTCTGGGTATGTAATGAATTTGTTAAGGGGAGAAAAACAGAGCAAATTAACCACTTCATTGCTACATATTATTTTTTGTATAGTATAGTTCAAATTAAATAGAATTACTATCTGTGTGAATTACTACACTATAGAATATCTTTTACTATGGTACAATGATTGCTTTACTTGAAAATTCAGCAATTTGGATTGTATGCAAACTGGTTTCATACCATTCTTTTCAATTATTTTGAAATTACATGATTCCTAATGACACAGCTAGTGGAAAGCTACTTTTTCTTCAAAAAACAAGGGAGCCAAAATAGGTATAAAATAATACAATTTGAGGACAAGTGTAAAATGTATTAAATATTCCACAACCGTGTTAATTTAACATTGTTTTAAAATGGAAGAGAGTGATATTTTCAAATACAGAATCATTAAAAATATAAAAAGCTGAAAATATTTACCCGTAGAAATGTTGGAAATCCTTGTCCATAATATCCAACAGCAAAGTAATCTGGTTTAGGTCTTATTACTTTCACAATGTTTTCATAGAATTGTGCTTGTTTTTTCTGTGTAAGAAAAACATAATTTTTAGAATATCCTTTTTCTGGAAATTGTATTTTCTATTTCTTCATAAACCTTCCCAGTTATTTACAAATAAGAAACATGTAATACATTTCACTCTAAATCTACAGGATGCTATTGCAGATAAGTTACCTTGGGTGGAAAACCAAATTGATAAATGGAAAAGAGAAGACCAATTTCTGCTAACTTTTTTTTTTTTAATCTATGGACTATACAGAAAGTCTCTTGCAAGTGCATCAGCTGGTAGTCAAGGGGAAAATCTACCTGCAAGCCCATTCTGATGGTCAAACACAGAGAATTATTTGCAGCTTCTATGGCAGAATCAGGTAGAACAAATATACAATGATATCTACCAAAGTGGGGCAGACTTTCAACAAGAAGAGAAATGAAATTGCTATTGGAAACAAAAGCACTTTTTCCACCTCAGTATATGCTTTTGACTGAATCAGGGGAGAGTAATAACCTAATGCTACTGTCAAAGAGTAGTACCCTTACTCTTAATGCTGTTTTTCTTTTCTAAAATCCAGTACTATGCTCAAGCATGTTCTTCTTTTGACCCTAACTCTTTCGATATGAAACATGTCTCTGCTTCCTCTACAGTAAGACTGAAGCTACAGGAGTTGATTGAAAAGTTCAGTATCAACAGGTTTAAAAGCACTGTATACTTTTAAAAAATTTTGTCGTACACTTAATTCCATTATCTGTGATACTGTTTTACCAGTTGCTAAATATTCACTTGTTCGTTTTTCTATAAGATGTCGACTGCCTCAATCCCACAATTTTTTATACACATGCATACACATGGGCAATTGTAATTATATAAACAATAGGATGAGTTAGAAACATTTAATTTAAGCCCACCAAAATTAAATCTATACCTCACCTTCTTTATTTTTAGTGAAGGGAGCAGTAGTGCATGGGTGTGGGTGCAGGTATATATATATGTCCACATATATAGCCAAGCCAGTATGATTACTTGTGTAGGATTTGGGGATTTTGTATTTTAAATAAAAATAGACGAGCTTTACTTTTCATCAGAGTTAAAGGTGTCTTTCTTTAACCCTGGGATTGCCAATATCTTTTTGTATCCTTAGACTATGATTATGGTTTAGGGACGTAAAATAACAGGCAAACACAAATGGCTAACTTATCGCGAGATACTAGAATTTTGTCAAGGGGAATGTAAAATAAAATCAAGAGAAGAACTTGTGGCAGAGAGATATAGTTTTCAATGGTTCTCTTATTTACAATTATTAGAAAGATTTGAAATAGACAAAAGAATTTATGGTTTTGAACATTGTAAGACTGAGTTTGAAATAAAATTGTGTACAAATGATGAACATGTAATGCTAAAATGTATAAACATTTATTGAAATTTGAAACAGAAGAAGAACAAGTAAAAGACTGTATGATAAAATGGGCTAAAAATTTTGGTTATAATATATAAATGGAACAATGGGAAAATATATGCCTGAGAGGATTGAAATTTACACTGTGTTATAATCTGAAATATATTTTTTATAAAATGATGTACCATTGGCATATGTCACCAGAGAAATTGTCTAGAATGTATAAAGGCACTTCAAATTTATGTTGGAAGTCTGAACAAGAAGGGATATTTTATCATGTTTGGTGGATGTGTAAAAAAGCTAGAAAATTCTGGATTCAAATGTATACACTGATTCAGAGAATTTTAAAGATTAATATACAATGAAACCAGAGGTTTTTCTTTTGGGATTGATGGACAGACAGCTGGAAAAAAGTTATGGAACTTTGTTTTTGTGCATGATAACTGCAGTGAGATTATTGTATGCACAAAGATGGAAAGATTCGGCACTACCCCCAACGGAGAAAAGGTTGGTGAAGATGATGGAACTTGCTGAGATGGCTACATTGACTTATTTAATCAGAGAAAAGATAATATCTATGTGTATTTCTGACTGGAAACCCCTATAGATTTTTTGTATGAAACAAAAAAAAAAGTGAACTTATGATTAATGGCTTTGATGATTAGACAGCATTGATTATAGAAAAAAGAGAGTTATGTTGTGACCATAGAGTAAGAGGTAAATTTATAATTGTACTTATAATTGCTGTAAAGAAAATTAGAAGCTACTTCTTTGGATCTTTTTTCTTTTCTATTTTTCTTTTACTTTTTTCCCCCTTTTTGTACTTTTAGCTTTCTCTTTGATCTCTTTTTTTCTTACTTTATATTAGTTTGTATTAGTTTTTATCTTCTTTTTTTAAAAAAATCTTTAATAAAAAATACACACAAACACTGTATATAAAGACTATGATTAGAGAATAAATTTTCTGATTCTAGTTTACTCCTTAATTGCATACTATGGTTTTTCAACTCAGCTAGCACAATATCCTTTTTAGGACAGAAAATCCAAAATTTATATTTACTTTGCAGTATGTATAAATAATATAAGGGAGGGGTAGATGTCAAGTATATGCAGGTCTCTATCATAAACAGATATTCTGTAGCTGGAATATATATTACCACAAAGGCATTATTTCAATAGTGTACTTCTGTACCACCTATTATACACAAAGAACAAGACAGACCATAATTATATATTCACCACTAGCTTCTGAAAATATATGCAAAGAAACTCCTGGAAGCTTGGTATTCAGACAAGTCAGCCATCAACAGGCACATAAACAACATTTACAC